TAAGCTAGCGCTTCGAGCGCTTTTTTGCTTAAATGACTTATTCGTAAATATTTAAATATCGATAAATCTTTTTTTAAAACTCGAAAGATATTGCTTTTTTAGAATTTATAGCGTATTTGTAAGCGCTTTTAAGTTGTAAAGAATATTATTAAGCAAAGAAAGTTACGAATCAATTAAAGCAAAGAATAATTAAATAGCTTGTATATAAAAAACGTAAAATTAATTTTTTTTTTAACTTTTTTAATACGACGCTTTTTTTAACTTTTTCGTAGCGGAGAATTGCGTTATATCTTAAATATTATACGCTAGCCTTGCTTAAAAAAGCTTTCGAAATAATATTAATATTAAATTTTTTAACGATAGCGACGTTATTTAACTTTAAATCTTCCGTCTTAACTTTATTTGGTCCGTTTAAAGCTCTTTTAAAGACTTTAGTTTTTCGCTCGACGATTAAAAGATTACTCGTTTTAACTTTGATGAAATCGATTAAGCGAAAGCGTTGAATTGACTTTAATATAAAAAGATTTTTATCGTTAATAAAGTAAATAGCGCCGCAATTATCGAGAAAAGTGCTATTAAATAACTAGTGCTTATTATTAGCCGTGCTATAAAGACCGTTAAGAATAAGATTATCGAGCGTATTAAAAAGCTTAAGATCGATAATAGCTGCTAACACTTTTTTAAAGTATTTTAATTTATCGTTATTATTCGATTGCTTTTCTTTGCTTTTTAAGACGATCTTATCGATTTAAATTTATATTTAACTTTCTTTCGTAATCATTTTTCGAAGCGCTTTGAATTTAAGCTTTTAAAGCTTTTTTTTTATAACGACGATATTATCTCGGTTCGGCTTTAAAAATCCACTTTCGTTAAGACTATTAAAATAATAGCGAAAGACTTTGCATTTGATTGCATTTTAATAATATATTCTTTTTTTAAAATACGAGCACTTAAAACCTTTAGCAAGTCTTTTAAAGCTATTAAAGCGTTTATTAGACTGCTTAAAAGCAATATCGTTAGCTTTATTACTTTCGGAAGTGCTGCGAGTCGTTTGATTTCCGAAAGTAACGAATATATTAAAAAGATTAAAGTTCGGATTGCTAATCTTTTCGTTAACTTAGCTTTTATATTAATTAAAGTAATCGTAAAAAGTTCGCTTTTAAAGCATTAATAATTCGTCGTTTCGAATAACTTTTACGAGCTTTAGCGACGTTTAAGTTAATAATTATTTTTCGTTAATAGCTTTTAAAAATGCTTTTATCGCGAGTATACTCGTTGTTTCGTAAAGCTCGTTTATCTTCGTTAACTTATAAATAGCTCGGTGCTCTTTAATTTAAACCGCTAAAAAAACGCTTTTTTGCTTAGCTACTTGCAAAGATTTGTTATAGTCTCGTGCTATCGATAGCTTAAAGCTCGAGTCGAATAAACAGTATATTTTTTAAAGCTTTTTTATTAAAAATTAAATAAAAGTGTTATCTTTTTCTATAACTGCTAAAATCACTTTTTCGAAAATAAAGCTCTTAACCGTTTGTTTAATTTAGTTTATAATTTAATTGCTTTTATTATTTAAGATCTTTTAATTAATAATAGCGAAGTTGTATTCTTTTATATTATCGTTATCCTCTTTTCGGACGTCTTTGAACTTAGCTTCGCGTAATCGTAAAAGTCTATTAAAATCGTTTGCAAAAGCTTTTAAGTGCTGTTTATCTTAAGCCTTTCGTTAACGTTCTTAATTCTAGTAGTATTCGTTATTAAGCTTCGTTATTATCTTTATAATAAACTTCGTTTTTAATCTAATTTGCTCGATAAAAAGAGCAAGTTCTTTTACGCTAATATAAAGAGCTGCGTATTATTCTATATTAAAGCGCTTAATAAAGTATTTATAATTCGTAATCTATTTTAAGAAATCGCTACGACTTATAAAGTTCGTTTTATTAATCAAAAGAACCTTTTTTACTTTGTCGTCTATTATTATAACAATTGATTTTATAATTAAAGCTTTTGAAAATTAATTAAAGTTCTTAAGAGTGATAAGTATTAATCATAAGAAATAAATATAATTAAAAAGGATAGATTATAAAAATGAAAATTATAACGAAGTAAAATTAAAGTGATTTGCAGAATCCGCTTTCGATTAATTCGGAAGTTGTTAAAAACCAATTGAATAGCTCGTAAATGCGAATGTGGCTCTTAATTATAATGCTTATTAGCATTAAAATCAAAAAGAAATTCTATAAATTGAATAAAGCTTAATATATTCTATCTAAAAAGCTCGTTAAGATTTATATACATGTACTTAAGAGCTTTAGTATACTAAGGGCGCTATTAAGCGAGGTCACATGACATGTTACATGTAGCTTAGGTGGAACCATGCATGTTCCGCACAACAAGAAGGAAAGGAAAAGAAAATAAAGAAAGAAAAAAATGAAAAAAAGAAAATAAAAAGAAAGGAAGAAAATGTAAGGAGGGGAAAGAAAATAAAAAGGAAAAAAAGAAAAATTAAAAATTAAAAATTAAAAAATTAAAAATTAAAAAATTAAAAAATTAAAATAAATAAATAAATAAATAAATAAAATTAAAAAATTAAAAAATTAAAAAATAAAAATTAAAAAATAGAACAATGGACTTCTGAAGTGAATCGTGATGAGATTGGAACGAGCTGGAATATATCACGAGGGGATGAAAGTACCGAATACTTGTTGCGTCGTGACTACTGTACCTATATCTATCCGTGCGCTGATAGTCTATTCTTGCCCCTGAGAAAAGGGAGATAGCTCTATCTGGAGTTTTAGACCCGCGATCGACTACTCCGAACTGCATGTCTCAAGCGCATTCAATGATCTCGATGCGATTACTAGACGTCTTGTATATACAGCTATCCGTAGAGCTCATCAATTGTTTACTAACGCTAACGCCCGGTTAAGGTCAGAGTTTCGGTTTTTGGCTAGGGGATTGGACGGCGGTGAGAGCCCCCCACATAAGGATTGTTCGACTCTCCCTCAGAAGTAAGTCTCCCTTCCCAAACCGTTCGACTCTCCGTCATAACTAAGAACGTATGGAATGCATATGACATACAATTGACGAGCCACCCCCTCGTACACGGCCAAACATCAACAGGCAACCTTTACCGGCAAACTAGCTCCAGCTATGACGGACGGATAATCATACCCGTTATGATTCGTGAATATTAAAGCTCTGGATCATATCATCAATACTGAAAAATCCCGAAGCAGGACCCAGGAACAGCACGCACCTGAAGTGCTGTCATGCTATCAGAACGAGGTCTTGATAAAGATATATATTATCTACCGGGAGAGAGAGATTCTAAATGACACAGTCTGATTCTATCCTTTTACAATGTGTTCTTTCAAGTCTAGGCTCCCTTGAATTTATTCTATCTGGTCGCCTGCTCATCTATGGTGTACACCCTCCCAGGACTTATACGCTACTCTTCTAGTGTCTGCATGGTAAAAAAACGTATACTTATTCGGACATCCAGAATCCAGTACATCAAACGAGCAAGGATGCTTTCTTCCCCTTTCGTTTCCCAAGCAGACCACCCAGATACAGTCTAGACTCAGGGGGATCCGATGCAGAGAACTACCCAGCTATCACCATGCGCATCTAGTATCGGAGCAGACTGGCTTGTTTTGACACCAAAGGTAGTTCAGAGCCCCGAAGCTCCACTTTAAACGCCCTTGCATCTACTTCGCTTGACTCCGGGTTTGTCCCCCCACCCGGCGCGGCTTCTGGTTGGCCACTAGGGTTCTACGCTCCGCTCAAGTCCCCACCGACAAATTGACTTTGGTACCTGCTCACGATTCACGCAGGTCGGGAAGTTTAACGAGAGCTTAACGAAAAGCTTGTGCGGATAGAGTTTCTGCGGATCGTTCGCTACAGCTTTCGAGACTCTCGGCTTCCCAGACTAGTCGCCGGTCGACTGCCCGTCAACCAAACAACTTTTGCCTACGAAATACTGAGAGAGAGCTTATCTGGGTTCCGACTTCGAGAGGTGGATGACCCAGCGGAGAGGATTGCCGATCGGGATGCACAAGCCCTCCTTTTTTCATATTCGTTCGTATATCGGATTCGTATATCGTACCCAGCGACCCGTGTGCATGCGTTGCCGGTTCCGGCCTTACCAGTTCCACAGCGTGCGCTCTTTCCCCCCGCCTTGTGATCAGCGGCTAAGCTACAGATCTGCAGTTCAAGCTTGAGAAGAGGAAGGTCTGCCTGAACCCGGGCTAGTCATGATGTCTGCCCGCCAAGCCGGGGAATAAGTCAGACAGACTTGCAAGCCCTGCGAGTGGTTGTTCTTGGGCCGCTAAGCGAGCTCCTGCCAAATTCAGTCCAGAATCCAGATCCGTGGCCATCACTTGGGAAAGCCAGCAAACCAACACAGAAAATCGTTGGCGGCGCCGGTCTTAGATTGAGACCCCAGATCAGCTCCGGATCACTACTGATGTTATGTTCATGGCGATAATGTGTTCAAGTTGCACGAGTGCCAAGACACGATGCACATTTTTGACCCCAGATGAGAGGCCGGTTGCGAACAATACGTCGTCGAACCGAATCTAATACCCGCAGATCGAAACAACACGTCGTAGTGAAGACGGGGATCGGCAGATCAATGATCGTTAGATCCTCACACCGTCCACTTCACTCAGATTCTCGGCTGTAACGCTGCCGCTCAATATTGACATACCTTTTGTGAGTTGGCTCGGCTGCGAGACCCTCCCATGGGAGTCTGCATGTCAACACTCCCGCATATCGTACCGAGAGTGAAGAGGACACCAGGATAGCCCGCCACAGCGAACCACGGCGAAGGCAAAACAAATCACGGAGCCGCTTCGGTATAAGACTCACATCGCGCGGTCTTTCTCTTCTTCGTGCCTCCAGTGTCGAGCCAGCCGACGCGAAACACCCAGCTTCTCTCTGCACCATCCCAAGCCTTTTTTATTGCTTCGCGAAAGTACAGCTCATACCATCTCCAGATCATAATGCGGTCCCCTCTGTCCTTCATCCTGGCGGCTGCTCCAAATGTGGCCGCCTTCCCTCGATTCGGAGGCGCCTCTGGCCTCTCGACCTCTTCCGTGCAGCAGGCGAGGTATAAGGATCACGACACCAGCACGCTGCACCCGAAGCATTTCGTCTACCAGGCCCCTCAACTAGGCGATTGTACGCACCTCTGTCTATCTACCTGACACCTACCTGCCTGTATATGATGAGGCACTCTCCGTCTGACGTCTTGACAGCCCGCGGTCCATGTCCCATCATGAACACCATGGCCAACCACGACTTCGTTCCGCACAACGGGCGCAACATCAGCCGCGAACCCTTCATCACGGCGTGCATGCAGGGCCTCGGTCTCTCGCACGACTTCGCGGCCCAGATCTTTGAGACGGCCCTCGCTGACATTGCGACTGCGAACCCGCGGCTGAATTCCACAGTCAGTCCCCTCCTCTACCCACCATCTATTCCGAGCGCCCATTCCCCCAAGCCCTTCTCCCAAGCTCTTCTCCCCCAAGCCCTTCTCCCCAAGCCCTTCTCCCTCTCCCCTCCCCCCTTCACAGCAACTCACTCACTCACTCACTCCCTCCCTCCCCCTCCACAGACCTTCGACATCTGGATGCTCCACAACACCCACGGCATCGTCGAGCACGACGGCAGCCTCGCGCGACAAGACATCTTCTTCGACCCCTCCTCCCAATTCGACCCGGCCACCTTCGCCAACCTCCTCTCCTACCTCGGCCCCTCCCCCGGCATCGACCTCCCCGGCCTCGCCCACGCCCGCGCCCGCCACGCCTGGCACATGAGCGCCGCCAACCCGCGCTTCAGCATCGCGCCCGCCGCCGTGCCCGTCATCGTCGGCGAGAACGCCATGCTCCTCGGCATCTTCGGCAAGGGCAACGCCACCAGCCCCGTCGTGGACCGCGCCCACTTTGAGTTCTTCTTTCGTGAGTGCCTCCCGTCCGTCTTCTGCTTGGTGGGGGATGTCAAGAGGGGAGGAGGAGGAGAAGAAGAAGAAATCCTCACCCTCCCCTCCCATCTTATCCTATCCCATCCCATCCCATCCCATCCCTTTTACAATAAACCAAACTCAACTCAACTCAACTCAAAGAAACTAAACGAAACTAAACTAACCCCCTCTCCCTCCCGCGCCCGACCCGACTCATTAGGCAGAGAAGAATTCCCCGTCCGCCTCGGCTGGACTCCCAACAGGGGCGTCGGACCCGAGATTAGCGCCATCGTGCAGAGCATGATCGCGCAGAGCCCGGCTGGCGTCCCCTTGACGTTCTCGCCTGCTGCTGCTGCTGCTGCTGCTGCTGCTTAGCAGGATCGGAAGTTTCGAGAGGAGGAGTGGAGGGGGGAAAGAAGAGAGGGGTGAAGGGGTGAAGGAAGGAGGAGTGGAAGGTGGGGGGGGGAGGGGGTAGATATGAACAAACAAGTGCAGCTAGCTAGCTCGTCTTCCAATCTCTCTTTTTCTTCTAATCTTTCTCTCTTTTTCCTTTAGTCTTTCTTTTTCTTTTAATCCTTTTCTTAATTCTTTTTTCAATCTTGTTTTTTTCTTCCAATCTCTCTCCCGATCTCTCTCCCAATCCCTTTTCCAATCTCTC